ACTACAATAAGACCAGGTACATACCATCACATCAAGTCTGGATGAGGCCACCCAGTAGGAGGAATAGGAATAGGTCAGAGACAGCCCACCCTCAGCTCTCACTATTGGAATCCCACAAGACCGCAAGTTTCTCAGCCATAACACATATGCAGAGGACTAGGTCAGACTGCTGGTCAGACCGATACAGGCTTCTTGATCTCTGCAAGACTCCACAAGCTCTGGTCAGTTGATTCTCTGGGCCTTGTTCTTGTGTCCCTGACCTCTCTGGTTTCTCCCATCCTTCCTCCCTCCTCCTCTGCAGGACTCCTGGAGTTCCACCTAATGTTTGGGACTCTGAATGTGCTCCCATCAGTTGCTGGATAGTCTCTGGTCTCTTTGATGGTAATTCTGCTAGGCTCTGGTCCCAGAACTCTCTGCAGGCAGGACGAACTGTAGGTGGAAGGTTGTGTGGCTGGGTTGGTGTCCCAATCCCTCAACTGGAGGCCTTATCTGGTTACAAAAGATGGCCAGTTCAAACTCAGTGTCCCCATTACTAGGAGTCTTTGCTAGAGTTACTCTCGTAGATCCTGTGGAATTTCCATTGCACTAGGTTTCTACATCACCCCTGAAATGTACCCCATTCCAGTCATTTCTTCTGGTATCTCACCCACTTATCCCTCTGTTAGCAACCTCACCCACCCCCAGTCCACTCATGAAATTATTCTATTTCCCTTTCCTAGGGAAATCATTGCATCCTTTCCTTATGCCTTCCTTGTTACTTGGCCTCTCCGGGTCTGTGGACTGTAGCATGATATCCTTTACTTTACAGCTAGTATCTACTTATAAATGAGTAAACATCATGTTTGTCTTTCTGGGTTACCTCACTCAGGATGACTTTTTATATTTCCATTCATTTGCCTGCAAATTTTATGTTGTCATTGTTTTTAACAGCTGAGTAATACTCCACTGTGTAAATGTACTACTTTTTCTTTATCCATTCTTTGGTTGAGGGTCATTTAGGTTGTTTCCAGTTTCTGACTATTATGAATAAAGATGCTATGAACATAGTTGAGCAAGTGTCCTTGTGGTACGATGAAATGTTCTTTGAATATATGCCCACGAGTGGTTTGTGTGTCTTGAAGTAGATTGATCCCCAGTTTTCTGAGAAACCACCACATTGATTTCCTGAGTAGCTGTACAAGTTTGCACTCGCATCCGTAGAGGAGGAGTGTTCCCTTTGTTCCACATGCATGCCAGTGTGAGCTGTTGCTTGTGCATTTGATCTTAGCCATTCTGACAGTTGTAAAATGAAATCTCAAAGTTGTTTTGATTTACATTCCCCAATGACTAAAGATGTCGAACATTTAAGTGTTTCTCGGCCATTTGAGATTCCTCTGTTGAGAATCCTCTGTTTCGGTCTGTAGTCCATTTTTAACAGAATTATTTGGTTTGTTGATGTCTAGTTTCTTGAGTTCCTTATATATTCTGTATATTAGCCCTCTGCTGGATGAGGAATTGGTGAAAATCTTTTCCCATTCTGTGGGCTGCCATTTCACACTATTGATGGTGTCCTTTGCCTTACAGAAACTTTTCAGTTTCAGGTCCTATTTATTAATTCTTGATCTCGGTGTCTGTGCTACTATTGTTATATTCAGGAAGTGGTCTCCTGTGCCAAGGCTATCCCCCACTTTCTCTTCTATCAGATTCATTGTATCTGGTTTTATGTTGAGGTCTTTGATCCACTTGGACCTGAGTTTTGTGCAGGGTGATAGACATGGATCTGCACACTGACATCCAGTTATACCAGCACCATTAGTTGATGCCTCTTTTTCCATTGTATATTTCTGGCTTCTTTATCATAAATTGGGTGTCCATGAGTGTGTGGATGTATATCTGGATCTTCAATTTAATTCCATTGATCAATGTGTCTGTAATTATGCCAATATCATGTGGTTTTATTATTCCAGCTCTGTAGTACAGTTTGAATCAGGGATGGTGATACCTCCAGAAGTTCTTTTATTCTAGAGAAGCAAGGTTTCCTGAAATAATTATTGTGTTGGAAATTCAAAACAATTCCAGGAAGCCACTGAGGATTCTCTCTAGCAATGAGAAGACTCTTATTTAATACTTAACAGCCTTCTTCAGTGAGACTCAGTCTTGGTTACAAATCAGAATCACTTGGGAGCTTCAACAGTTCTGACATTCAACTGCATACAAGACCTATTAATTCAGTTTTCTGGATAGAGCCATACCACCAGCATCTTAAAAATGTTTTTAGTGTGTAGTATGTGTGTATTTATATACAACATGTATAATTGTGTGTGTGTGTGTGTGTGTGTGTGTGTGTGTGTGTGTGTGTGTGTCCTTACACATGCTCACCTAGTAATGATGGTATTGCCTCTGACTAGAGTACAAAGCCAGGTGGATTCCTTTGGTTTCCTGGTCAACCAATCTAGCTAAAATGACAAGCTCCAAGTTATTATTAAACTCTGTCTCAAAAATAAAATATGACTTAGAAGGAGAAGCCCTGAGACTGGAAGTTACAAGCTTAAAGTGGGCCTATGAGGATGTGTTCTGAGGAAGACACAGATTCACTCTGCTGAAAAATGAAAGCTAACTAAATAGATAGATTAGATGATAAAATACAATAAAAAGAACACAAGAAGCAACCTCTGACCTCCACACATGCCCAAATAAGAAAGTACACTTCTACACAACTCTCCAGACACAAAGATCACAAATATGGCAACTTTCTAATTCCCACAGACAGTTCTGATTGCTGTACCCTTTTAGGAGCTAACACTACATATTTTCTGATTCTCCTTGCTTACTTTCTGCTCCATTTTCCATTTGACACACTAAGCTTATCATGGAGTTGAATGAATAAATGTGTTAATCTACTCTTATTTCAAATGGCATACACCTTTTGATAGTTAAAATATGCCCCTTTAAAAATCTTATTCCTAGATCTTATCTTCTATAGGTAAAAGCTCCTATATACTTTCAAAGAAATACAGTGAAGAATATGCTTCCTTTGTGAAATACTACATGTCTGTCACTCAATCAGCAAGGTAGCCAGTACTTATTATGCATGGCATATGCCAGCACACCACACGCACTCTAGATTATACACTTCATTGACACTGGAAGTTACATTGAAAATATAACCAAAGATACTCTATGAGGGTGGTTTACAAATAATTTTAAAAGTTATTTCAGCTTGTTTCTAATTTGAACTAATAAAAAATAAAAAAATTGACTTTTTTATTTGAATTACAAACAAGATTGAATTACATGACAATCCCAGCTCCTTTCTCCCTCCCTTCCTCCCCTACCACTCCCCCAACTGAAACCCTACCTATCACATGTCCTTTCTTCTAATCTACACCTGACTCAACCTTTCTGCTCCCTCATGACCTCTGCAGTTATTTCAAGTAGTCAACACAATGAAGATGAGAAATGTTTGCTGGCTGCTGGACATTACCTAAGGGTTGAACACAGCCGAATGCTGAAAACACATTTTAGAGAGAATGGACATTAGCACTGGACAGATGGCATAGTAGATAAGACCACAGTTGCTCTTCCAAAGGACCCAGGTTTAATTCCCAGCATCTGCACAATAGCTCACAAATCATCTGTAACTTCGGTTGCCCGGGATCTGACACCCTCTTTTGACCTCTGTGGGCACACAGGTGGTGCACATAAATACATGCAGGCAAAGTACTCATACACATAACCTAAGTAAACTTTTTAAAAATTATAATGAAGAAAGAGCATAAAACACAAAGCCCTGGAGCTGGGCGTTGGTGGTGCATACCAGCAGATCTCTGTGAGTTCAATGCCAGCCTGGTCTACAATGCTACACAGAGAAACCCTGTCTCGAAAAAACAAAAAAACAAACAAACAAAACAAATCTCTGGAGGAAGAAGATGATTCTAAGGGTCTCTAAGTCTTTGAGTTAGAACCCCAAAAGTGCACATAGGAAACAACCCTTTTATCAGCTTCTTTGTTAGGCACTGTACTTCCATCAATATAGCTTAAGTTAAAATTTTGGTGAGAAAAATCACTGTGTTTTTATTGAATTAAATCTTCCCTCTCCAGTGTTTGAAGGCTGGAGTTTAAGTGTGGAAGGGTGGTTCAGGCAAACAATCCTTTTTGTGTAAACTCTAGCCCTAAACATTTCAGTCAGTATAACAAAAGACGTCTCAGCAGAGTGATGGGGCCTCCGTAGCCTCCAGCTGGCTAAGGATTTCTTATCTCTATTGGCATGCTTTCTTCTAGACTTACCCAAAAGAAGAAGTTGTGAACAGGGTCAAATTTAGAACCGAGCCAACTCTGGGTATTAGGGGTCAATACCCATCTTAATTTTTCAAAGAAGTACAGTATAGACCGGAGATTCTTGCTTTGTGAGACCTTGAATTCTGCCTGTTCTGTTGAGAAGTGTCCTCTCCCAAGCTAAAGTGTCCCAACAAATTTTCAAAAGTCTTAAAAAGAACCCTTTGTGACATTATGAACATAGTTGTTTCCTGCAGTTTATGATCAACCTGCAAAGACTGCACTTTCATCCAGAGGGAGGACTCACTTTAAGTTAATAAAACAAAATCCAGAGATTATACTGGCAAGAGAGAATTGGTAAAGTGTAATTGGGTGCTGAAATTGACAAGAACATGAATTTGAAGTGTCAAAGTGACATAAGGTGTCAGCGAAGCAAGCACAGTCATGAAGTAGAAGATGTCTCTGAGCTGCTTGTCCATGGGCCTCACAGAACCTGAGGTCATTTGTGAATGGTTATAAGAACACCTTTTTAGTATGGCTGCCCCTTCCTAGGCAGCCCACCTATAAGCCGAAGCTTTTACTCAAGCTAGATTCGCATACAGAACAGAGTAGCTCTTGTGCTCATGCAGACTGTGGTTCCTGTTACTACCATTCTTTGATGAACCATCTCCTTTTTCATCTGATAAGTGACAATGATGCATTGAACACACATGTTGATCTCTGAAGAAACAAAACAAAACAAAACCATGCAGTCACGGCTAATGATTCATCTTCCCAGGCCACTTCTCATTCTCCAGCCATCTGGGGAAGTTCAACAAGTAATGGTAAAGCTTGGCAAGTTTAGGTGCATAATCTACATTGCTGCTAGTGATTGATGATGAATTGAACTTCCTGAAGATTGAAGGGGACTAAGTTAATTCATTCCCAGTGTCTTTGAGGCTCCCTCACATCTTTGTGTTTTGTTTTCTCATAACCTCCCGTGGAGAAGGTCGTACTACTAACATTCTTCTCAGTAGTTATCCTGATGGCCATCCTGGGCAACCTGCTGGTGATGGTGGCTGTGTGCAGGGACAGGCAGCTCAGGTAAGCAGAACAAGGGAACCTCTTAGGAAACATGGGTATCAGAGGGATCACCCTGGAAAGTTGGCTCTGAATAATTTCCATTTTAATTTATCACGTTCATGGGGAAAGGTTTTGAAAAATTGAAAAGGGATCACACATAATTCTATAACCCCAACGGTGACATAACCATAAGAGTACCCTGGGTTAGTTCCTTCCTGTCTGTTTATCTATGCTGTGTTGCATTTGTTTAAATAGCCTTGGTCACTATATGTGCCCTCCTGCTACCAATGGTTCAGGGAAGGAGTCAGTAACTAATGATTAGTCTGAGTAATGAACACTGGGTCTACCACATTCTGTACCTCACCCGTGTCCACTATGGCTACATTCACAATCACCTGAGGTACTTTTCAAAATACTACTGTATAATATTGGTATGTTCTGTGCAATATTATGGAAATATTTATATTTAAAAAGCAATTCTCCATTAAAAATCAAAATTTAATTGGCTGTCCTGAATCTTATGTAGCAATCTTCAATGGAGGAGGATATTATTCACCCAAGGTTTTTGGCTAATTGATCTGGGTTGAACCCTGGGCATTGATGTTTGCTAAAATCCACCAGGTATTTCTAGTGTGTGCTTTGGACTAAGTAGCATCAGGCCATAAAGGAAGAGATGAGCTACAGGTAGCAGCTCTCTAAGCAGTACAAGCCCTGAACCAGGGAAGAGGTGGAGAAAGTGCAATGCAAAGTTTTTCCCGGGGTCACACACATAGGGCCAAACAAGAGGCCACCCTGGTAGCTGCAAGTGATACATCTTGGCACTCTCTTTGAGGACAGCATCTTGAGAGGGCTCTCTGGGCATTCCTAAGCCAGGACCAGAGCCAGGGTGGGCAGTGATTAGAAGAATAGGTGGGAAAGAGAACAAATGTGTGGAGCCTCACTACAGTTCTCAATACACTGGAGACCTCTGGGCAAGCCAGAAGGGCCAGAAAAGAGAGGAAAGGGATCTTTGGGCATGAAATAGGTCTGGAGAAGTCGGAGGAGGTTGGACCACAGAGAATCTCCTTGACTATGGTGCAGAAGGGAAAATTGAGTCTTGTGGATTATGTTTAATGTGTGACTTTTCTTTCCTTTTCTACCTCCCTTCTTTCCTTCCTTCCATTTCCCCCAACTCTTCCCTCGCTCTTTCTTCCCACCTACTTCCCCACACCCTTTCCCTGCCACCTTGCTTATACCTTTTCACTCACAGGAAAATAAAAACCAATTATTTCATTGTGTCTCTTGCCTTTGCCGATCTGCTGGTTTCGGTGCTGGTGATGCCTTTTGGTGCCATTGAGCTGGTTCAAGACATCTGGATTTATGGGTACAAGTTTTGCTTGGTCCGTACCTCTCTGGATGTCCTCCTCACCACAGCATCAATTTTTCACCTATGCTGCATTTCACTGGATAGGTAAGAGCAGAGCAATGTGCATAGTGGGACACAGCTGACACCAGTGACTTAGCAGATATCACCCAGTGTCGTTCTTTCCTCCCTAACTCATCTCACGAAATTAGTACCATAGACAGATGTGGAAGTTTAGTGATTCTTGCACCAGGGCATTTCTTGTGGAGGGCTTCTTCCCAGTCAGGCATTCTTAGGGATATTATGACCCAAAGGTTGCATGGTCTAATAATTGCTTGTATATTTTACTGTGTAGATAGGTATCCTCAGGCAAATTTACCTTCAACTTTATATTGATGGCAGGGACAAAATGCTGAGGGAGTCAGATGGCAAGAGTTAGTGCACATGCTCAAGGGTCAGTTCAGGATGATATCACTGTATTTGTATATGACCTTCTCCTGAAATATGTCCATGTAATAAGTAAAGTCAGGGAAAGTGCATGTGATCATGGGGATACTGTCCCCTAGAAAGTTAAAGTTAATGATAAAATCTACAATCATTGATGTTTTAAAAATTCAGCTTATCATATCCCAATGTAAATTGTGGGAGTTTTGTCTGTTTATTTTATTTTGTTTTGTTATACCTTTGGATGCCTAATGGTTCCCTTTTTTGCCTCATTTGTTGGGAGTGTATGCTTATGAGTCCTTTCCATTCTCCAATTCCTGATCATTTTCATGGACAACAAATGAAATAATACACTTTGAAAGTCAGATGACTCTGAGAGTATATGTGGCTTTGGGGCTAAAACAGAAGGAAATGTGGGGTGAAAGTTTCATGAGCTTGAACTGTGGGGGTTAGCATCTCTCTTTCCCTATCCATGGACCTATTTCCCCTGGCTTGGGAGAGATACAGTTCTTAAATTGGGGATTTAGAAAAGTCAGCCAAAGTTAGATAATGATATCTATCTAAAATAGTCACCTTTAAACAGTAAAATAATAGTTTCTTAGAAAATTACTCATCTGGGGCGGGTCCTTGAGAACTGAAATCTGCTGTGGCAAGAGCAGATTCCCCTCCTTTCTTTTGAGAGTACTGATTAGAATGGCAGGCATGACAGAAACAGCCTCCTGCTCTTCTTTTTGTTGTTTTGTTTTTCAAGACAGGGTTTCTCTGTGTAACAGCTCTGGCTGTCCTGCAACTCACTTTGTGGACCAGGCTGGCCTTGAACTCTCAGAAATCCTTGTGCCTCTGCCTCCTGAGTGCTGGCATTAAAGGCAACCTCCTCTGTTTAAGTCACTCTTTCTTTGTTTTTCTGACAAGAACACAAAGTTGAATTGCCTAGATTCTATGCATGTATTATGAGATTCCATGGCATAGATAGTTGTGTAGTTGAACTGTTGCCCAACAGTAAGACCAGCCATGAGTCACAATTAGAAATGTCTGTGTCTTAGCTTGTTTACAATTGGACAACAGTATGTGAAGGACATTTGAAAGACATTTTACAATATATGAAATTTCATATCACAGAAAAGAAAATATGAGAAAGAAGAAAATACAGGGAAATTCTCAAGGTTAACCTGTACATCATCATTGCTACAATGATCTGTGAGACTAGACATAATACAGGAATTTAGAAAAAAGTAAGACTGGGGATATAGGGAAGCTGGAAGGCAGTGAGATTTTGGCAAAAGCCAGGGGAAGAAAAAGAGCCACAAAGAAGTAAAAAGTGGGAGAAAATCCATCTTTCTACTGTAAAGAGCATGCAGTTCCAAGACAAGGGCTGAAGGTCTCCCATGGCTGGGGGTGGCTTCAGATTTCCAGATTTAAGCTCATAATCCCTCATGAACATTTCTTCAAGTGGGCTCACATTGCAGGGAACCAGTTAAGAATTGGACATTAAAAGCCATCTGTTTTAAAATTTGAGCAATTTAACTTTAAATTTCAGCTGTCAGTTTTTTGCCTCTGAGACTGGCAGTGAGTTAATAAGCCTTTCTGAGTCTCAGTTTTCTTTGTCTCAGAAAAAAAAAAAAAGGAGGATAAAGAACTGATCTCGCAGAGGCTGCATTTAGGAAGAAATGAGCTAAGCTGCCTGAGAGGGAACATTGTCCACTGTGACTCAGTACTGCTGTGAGTGGAAGGTGTTACTCTAGCTAATCATCATTTGCCTTACGAAGTTTGGCTTCTCTTAAGACACCAGAGCATCCTCTAAGTGTTCTCCTCATATTAACTTTCCCATCTATTCTCACTTACAAGATCAAACAAATGCCAGCCTTCAAAACGGCAACCCTGAGCTTTGTTGCTTGTCTGGGACTTTTCTTTTTTTAATTTTTTTGTTTTGTTTTTCAAGACAGGGTTTCTCTGTGTAGCTTTGGAGCCTATCCTGGCACTCCCTCTGTAGACCAGGCTGGCCTTGAACTCACAGAGATCTGCCCGCCTCTGTCCCCAAGTGCTGGGATTAAAGGCATGCATCACCAACACCTGGCTCTTGTCTGGGACTTCTCAACAGCTACTTGCTTTGAGATTACGACCTCACTACTTGATGCAGAGAATTTTAAAATTTAATCAATTCATTTTTAATTCAATTTAATTTATTTAGAATTTCACACCAAAGTATTGTATTTATGGTGTTTCTATCCCACCATCTCCCTACTTCAACACCCCCACATCCTGCTTCCACACTCCCCCAAAGCACACCCTGCTGAGTCCATTATTGTCACTCAAATATACACGTGTTTAAGGCTGAAGCCTTGACATTGGATAACATACCAGGGGCTTCATCCCTGGAGAAGACAGACTCTCCTTCTCTCAGCAGTCATTGGCTGCTTGTATCTCTTCTTTTAATGGTGGAGCCTTGAGATTTTCTCATATGTGTTGGTCTGCCAATTGGTGATATCATTATGCAGGGCTTCTTCAGGCAACTATATTATTGAGATGTCATGGGTATAGTATCTTCCTTGCCATAATTAAAAAACTATCATGCGGCAGAGGTCCTAGTCTTCTGACTCTTACAATCTCTCCACCCTCTCTTCTGCAGTGTTTCCTGAGCCTTAAGTGTAGTGGTTACATTTTACATATATCGATTGTGGTTGGATCCTCATGGCCTGTTAGTTCTCTACATCTTAATTAGTTGTTGATTTCTTAATTGTCCCCACCTGCTACAAAATGAAGCTTCTCAAATAAAAGGTGAAAGGTCTATTTATCTGTGGATATAAAGATAGGTATTTAGAATGCAGTTAGAGATTTTACAGGGTTTAGGAAAGCATCAGTAGCAGGTTCTCTTTTAGAGTTCAGTACTTAATCATCCAAGGGTAGTGAGTAGGTTTACAATACTGGCACGGATTCTATCATATTGAGTCGGCTGTAGGTCCAACTAGATGGCTGTTGTTCCCCCTGAGATGTATCACTCTTGGACTGTTGGCTTTTGTGGTGGCATGTAGCTTTACATTTGGGTAGGGGCATTGATGTTCTCCCTTGGCAGATGCATAGCACCTTCTAATACTATAAGAGTCCTTCCTCAGGGAGGAAGCTTCTGTATCATATACAGTTTGATGCCTGTGTTTCAAGTGTGAAGTGTTTTTGGCAACAGGCTTTTACCTTCAAGTTCTGGGAGGAAACCAAGGGCAATGGCAATAGCTTGTATTGTTTTTGGTAGTCTCTTGACTACCCAGACCAATAGCTTGAAAGGAAGTTTCCCATGCCTGGCACTTGGGTTTGTTAGATCGTGTATTGCTTTTGGGGAGAATATTATTCCTGCAAATGCTACAACTCCATTTAAATGATATGTTTGTTGCATGTATTACATGTGAATTTGATGTAAACATAAAATAATGCTTTCCAATAGCTTTTCAAATATTTGTACGTTATTTATCCCTCCCCTCTCCATAATTAAAAATTTCCCTATTTTTCTTATCGCCCCCCCCTGCGCATTGCACATGTGTACTACTATCCCACTGTGTAAAATACTTTCATTAAATCTTCAAGAATTTCATACAATGTATTTTGAGCCTATCCACCCCAGTTCTTGTCCCCCAGCTCCATCTAGATCTACCCCTATCTCCCAAATTTCTGTTCCCTTGTAAAATAGCCTATCACCTCCAATTTGTGCTGCTCATATAAGTATGGGGCTGAGCACTGGAGCACAGTCAACCTATCAGGAACTCATCCCTTAAAGAAAACTGACTCCTCTCCCTGAGAAGGCATCAACTGTCCACAGCTCCTCATAAGTGTAGAGGCTCATCTTCCCACTCGGTGCTAAAATGTAGACTGGCTTGATGTTGTGCAGACCCTATGCAAGCAAACAAAGCTTTTATGAGTTACAGATGTATCAGTCCTGTCATGTCCTGAAGATGCCACATTTCTCCAATCTCCCCTAATCTCTGGTTCTTATGATCTTTCTGCCTCCTCTTTTCTATGGTGCCTGAGTCTTGGTGTCTGTGTTTGGGAGCAATCTAGGTGACTCATTTGTGGCTGAGCAATCCACTGACACACATTCTCTGCACTTTGACCAATTATGAGTTTGTATGTCAATCACCATCCACTGACACAAAGTTTTATGATGAGGTGTGACAGTGACAGTAATTGATGAGTATAGAGGGTGTTCACTGTCTGTTTCCAATCTCTGTACCAAGCTTCCCTTCAGACACTTCCCCAGCCCTGTCTCTCAGCTCTGACTACCTGAGCTTTCTTTTCTGCTGTTGCTTTCCAGGCATCAGCTCCTCTTTGTGCCTGGAAAGCGCCTTTGCCCTCTGTGTGACTTTCAGATCTTAGCTCAGTCATATACTCCTGTAGCAGAAGTCATTTCTGATATCCTTGGACCTGTTCTTTGTAGAACTCGTTGCATTTTTTATTAAATGCAGTTCTGTAATTTCTCCCACAAAGTCCTTTTTTCCTTCCTTGTGGGAGGAACTCTGTATTATGAGCATGGGTGAGAGGATGCTTGTGGAATCTGTGGAATTTTCATTTAACGACAACTTTGACAACTAAGCAGTACTTGCACATAAATATTTATTTAGGTGCTTAGCAAATTTTCATTTTATTCCCCCTAGTGGAGGGAACTAGGGGGAATAAAATAA